CAGGGGGCTCAAGCAACTGGCTCCCTGCACCCACATAGGAAACCTGGGGGAGTTCCCCGCTGACCGCTTCAGCCTGGCCCACCCCAGCCATTAAGGGCTTTGGAAGTGAACCAAAAAATGAGAGTGCTCCCTCTCCCTCTCCCTCCCCCCTCCCCCTCTCTGCCTCTCCCCTTCTCTCTCCCTCTCCCCTCCCCCCTCTCCCTTCCCCTCACCTCTCCCTCTCCCCCTCCCCCTCTCCCCTACTTCCTTGAAATTTGCTTCCACTTCCAAAAGAGGATTAGGTGGAAACTCCTTAACTGTATAGCTAAATTGATTTTGAACTATGAAATTTTTCTTCTCATCTGTGCCAATGTCCTTAAAACATTGCTAGAACTATTGTCTGAGCTCTGAAAATATATTTGAAAATTTGTGTGGGAATCGAGAGTTCACTTCTTATTTTACGTTTGATAGCACAGTAAGTGTATATTGGCATTACTGGTGTTCCCAACAATGTAGCTGTCACTGAAATGACTTTACAGCAGTGTAAGTTTAACAAGTTTGCATAGTTTGTCTTTAACTTTATATTACATGCATCAAGTAATATTATCAAACTTACAACAAAACTTTTTTTCTAAAGTCATTTGTGTTTGAGAATACTACTTTAGAGAGGTCTCATTCTGAAAAAAAAATTTAATCTTTGCACTGAGGTCAAAAATCATAATAAAACTTTGACTCTGCTGGGCCATTGAACAGTCTGCTGTGTGGTAGGACAAGGCAGCATAAACAGCTTCTGTTTCCGTCTGACAAAAATTTATGGAATTGATGATAGCTTAAAACCACAAGAATGAACAAGTTCTTGATTAACATTCACACTACTTATTCAATAATACATTTGAAACTTCCCCCACCATTTAAAAATGTAAGAATGGGCCCCAGTGTTGTGGTGCAGTGGCTAAGGCTGTCACCTGCAACGCTGGTATCTCTCTCTCCCCCCCCCCATTTTCTCTGTCTCTCGCTTGCTCTCTGTAGCTATTTCAAACAATAAATACTTTTTTAAAACAAAGTGAGAATGATTCTTAGCTTGCTACGAGTCATAGCTTGTTAACCTCAAATTTAACCTGATTATATGCAAGATATTTATACATTTGTATCATTCAAATATTGCAATTTTTAGTTCTCAATTGAAGTTCTCCCTCCTGTAATTTTAATTCACAGTAACAGAGGCAATTTTCAAGGTACACTAAGCAACATCATTGCTATGGTTTGGATATGGTTTGAGGGTGCCCCCAGGATTGCATGTGTTGGAAGCTTGGTCCTTGGTGTGGCAATGCTAGGGAGTGGCGTGGAACCTGTAAGGAGTGTGGCCTAGTGGGAGGAGTTTAGGTCACTGGGGATGCTGCCCTCAGAAGATATTAACACAGTTCTGCTGGAACCTCTGGTGAGTTCTCATGGGAAGGTTGTTATAAAGTAGGGGTGGGAACGTCCAGCCTACAGGCTGTATAAGCTTGCAAAATCATTTGGTATGGCCCTGCCAAGGCAACTGCAGGTGGGACTGGAAATTCACCACATGTATAGTAAGCTAATTTTTAAGTTGATAGTTTTGTATAGCCCACAAATTATATTATAAATATCCAAATGGCCCTTGGCAGAAAAAAAGCTTCCCCACCCCTGTTATAAAGAACAAGCCTGATTGTTGAATTGCTCTCTGACTCCCATCTGGCCACGTGATCTCAATTTCTAACTCTCTCTCTCTCTCTCTCTCTCTCTCACACACACACACACACACACACACACACACAGAGGTGCAATCCATCATGATGAGATGCAGCCAAGAGAAGCCCCGATCAGAGCTGATGCCATGCTGTTTGGACTTCCAGCCTCCAAAACTGTGAGCTGAGTCAACCTCTTCAATATAAGTAACGGCCGCAGGTAATTATTTATAGCACCAGAAGATGGACAAATTATCACACAGTTATGGATTGAAATCAAAGAACTATTTTTGCACCATAGTCTTCAACTCCACAATTTGATGTTGCAATATAATATTAGACTATGATTTTCATGTATAGAAAGTAGTTTCAGTGCAGGAAATGGGCTGTTATTCCTAGCCAGGTGAGTTTCACAGAGACATGATTTTGCTATATGAGAAAATCAATTTATTGGTTTTCTTTTTTAAATAATAGAAGGGAAGTAGTCACAGTATTGATGGGAGTTATATCAACCACCAAAATAACAATCTTCAATCCAGTCTTCACTGGTAGGGCAAGATGGGGATTTTATCCTTGACAACATTAGCAAGTAAGTATCTTCCAGCAATTCAAAATGTCCTCAGCATCTAGTACAGCTATTTGGAGCATGAATTGTGTGGAGCCATGGTTAATGCCTCAGCTATTATTTGTATGGCTTTTAGATTCAGAGTGTAAAGTAGTTCCCGGTCAATGGTACAATAAATTGGCTTAAATTTCATGTCTTGATAAAGTCCTGTCACATTGTGCTTATGTTTCCTATGTCTGATGCTAATGCTGACCCCTGCAGGAAACCCATCTGTAGTCATGGTTACTGGTTCTGACAGATTTACTTTGAAATTCTTAAAACCTTTCTCCATATCCCAAAAATAAGCCACTTTCTAATGTGGCTTTGTGGAGCACCATTTCTGAAAGATTTTTAGCCATGTCAAAATTCTCAACAACACAAATAGCTTGTAGATCTCTATTCTTTTAACTGCTGCAATGGAAAATGTCAGAAATAACAGGTGGGTTTTTGTGTGTGTGTAACTTGTAACTTGTCTTGCAAGTTTTAAGCCGTATTTGCAACATACTGAGCAATACCGTTTATAGGAATTACATTTGTAAATGCTGTTTAGGAACTGGCCCCTCTAATAAAAATGCCTTGTGAGCTTGCCAGTGGTAAAATGTTTTTGTTGCCTGGGAAATTTTGTTCACTTAATGTTCCAGGCAGCATCACTGTGATGATTAATTTGATGTGTGCACCGGACGAGGCCATGCGGTGCTCAGGTATTTGTTCAGTTATGCTGGGTGTGTCTGTGAGGCTGATAGTTGGTGAGATCCTTGCTACCTAAGTCACACCTCTAGAGCAACTTCTCACCTCTAATCCCTGCTCACCTCCCGTGTTCCCTCTTGTCTTTCCACTCTTCCCACCCCTTCCTCTCTTCTTGCATCTCCTGCCTTCCCTTCCCTCCCTGTTCCCTTTCCTCTCTCCTTTTCTCCCCTGTTGCTCTGCCTTCCCTTCTTCAATTCCCTCTTATTCTCCCCTTTCGCCTTCCTCCACAACTCTCCCCTCTGTTTGGTTTGCTTAGGAGGTAGCACACTAAGCAAGAACTTAACCAAATACTTTGATTCACATGCAGTTCTACCATTGTTGCCTAAGCCTTAGATTTCTCCAATTTAAAAAGAGGATTTTTAATAGTGTTTACACACCTTCTTTGAAAACTAAATAAGATACCTCCACAGTGATTTAGAAACCTGGCTGTCCTGGGTCCAGCATTGTGGCTCAGTGGATTAAATTGCTACTTGCAGTGCCAGCATCCCATATCAGAGCACTGGTTCAAGTCCTGGCTGTTCCGTTTCTAATCCAGCTCACTGCTAATGCACTTGGGGATAAAAAAGAGCAAAAGAGGATGCCAAGTACCTGGGCACCTGCCACCCACTCAAGGATCCAGTTCCATGCTCCTGGCTTTAGCCTGGCCCAGCCCTGGGTTGTTGTGGCCATCTGGGGAGTAAAGCAGCAAATGGAAGGTGTCTCTCCCTATCTCTCTCCCTCTCCCTTTCCTTCTCCCTCTCCATTTTCCCATTCTTCCTTTCAAATAAATAAATACATCCTTTAAAAAAAAAAGTCTGAGTGTTAAGTGTATGTTTAAAAACAAAAGATTGACCATCCCTGAGCATAATCCTTTCTCTTGCTTTTTCCCCTAAGCACAGGTGCAGAGGAAAAAGATGCCAGTATAGTCCTGCAAAATTAATGCGAGATTTTCTGATAAAAGCAAGGCTTAGTTTTGTGTGACCTCATTCCATTTGCAGGAATAATATCGTCTCTGTTCTTAGGAATTACCGAGTATTGAAAGAGGCCAAAGGTAACCAAGAGGGGAAATGCAGGCTTCTACAAGGAACAGAGTCCTGAAAATTCCCTTGGGAGACCAATAAGGAACTCAAGGAGACCAGTAAGTAAACAAGTACTACATGAGGCGTGGGCCTAAGACCAGAGACTTCTCTGTGTACAGTTTGTGATCAACAAATACAGAGACTGAAAGCCTTTAGAAACGTTGGAGCGCTTTGGCATTGTCCGCATATCCGCGCTCCTGGTCAGTTGACTCTCCTGCAGCCGAGTTCGGTCGGGGAGCTTCCCTGCTGGTGAGTTGCTTAGTCCCTGAGGCGCTCACTGGGATTGCATGAGGAAGCGGGGTGGGGCACAGCGAGGACCTGCCGGGTGTCACGGACAGCTTCACACGCACGGATGTAAGTCGCACGGCAGTCCCACGACTCTGTGCTGTCGGCGAACGGATCCAGCAGTGTACAAAGTCATGGAACCCAAGTGCAAAGGAGTGGAAACCTCCGATGCGCGCGCTACACACTATCTCGTACACTTTTCACATAGAAAATTGCAAAACATTTCCAGTTTGCACTTTCCTACTCCAACTCGCCTTCGGCTAAGCCCGCGTGAGTGCTGACCGCTCCTCCTGGAGCGAGCCCTGCCCTCTTGTGGCTGAAGATCAGACAACAGAGAACAGCGCGCTTCGACCGTTCAAAACTCCGAGACGCTTCCCACGCTTAGCAGAAGCTTCTGGTCCAAAGATTCACTTTCTACATCGTTTTATGGGAGTCAAGAGCTTCGACCCCCTACAGGGAAAACCAAGCTGCCTCATTCGGAAAAACACCAAGCATTGCGGTGAGACTTGATTTCAAGACACTGGTGATACTTGGAGGGAAGACAAATCCCTGCGGATCCCTAAAAATAAATGGTCAATCCGCAAGCTGGAAACTACAGTCCACGGCACACGTAAACTACAACTCCCAGCATGCCCCGGGGGGGCGGGCTCGGCGGCTGCGCAGAGGAGTGTGCGTGTGGGGTCTCGTGGGACTGCAGCATGGCGGTGTTTGCGGACTTGGACCTGCGAGCGGGTTCGGACCTGAAGTCTCTCCGCGGGCTGGTGGAGACCGCTGCTCACCGTGAGTTGCCCCTCTGGAGTTTCTAGGATGTTCCTGAAGATTTGCCTCGCGGCTGATGGATGGCAGAAGGCAGGGAGGCCGGGCTCCAAGTGTAGAGTCTTTTACGCTCAGCCCTTCCTGACCCTTCACAGTGGCTGAACAAAGGCGGGAAACGAGGGTCCGGACAGGGAGTGCTGTCGAGGCTCAGAGAAGAGGGAGAAGGTGGGAGAGGGGGAGCTGGGGCAGTGTTCTTTAGAGGGTAGGGGCGGAGGACATGGTGGGCGGGGGCCGGCGTGACCCGAAGGGCGGGACGCTATTCAACTTTTCAATGGAAGGGAAGCCCTAAGAGACGAGACCTGTGCAATGACTGAGGTTCGTCGTGGCTTCAGTTTTCTTCGAGTGTGGGACTGGCGAGGTTAAAGGGTAGAGGTGCGTGCGGTTGGATCTGTTCCTCCGGGGACCTTTCTCAGCTCCTGTGAGCGCTGATGACTGGTGCTAGAAACAACCACTCCTTGCCAAGGTGAATGGTGCCATTTCTTCGTGGCCCCTTACGAAGTATCCGTAGGGCCAGGACCGTCTTTTCCGCGCAGCCATTGTTAGCATTGCCTCCCAAGGCATTCCTCCTCAGGCGGCCGGGAGGGTAGATAGGACGAGCCCGGCCAATTAGCACATGTATCTTTGATGGTTCCTCTGAGGTGAACTTTCCAGGGTGTAGTAAGCGTTGCCTCCTCTAGGTGGGAGTCAGGTAGGTAGCCCAAACGTCCAGAACGGAGCTTGCTCTCTGATGAGAATGGTATGAGGATACTTCATGGAAAGTGGAATAAAAAAATGTATTGAGACGCAAAAAACTTGAAATCCACGCATACTCATAAAGCGAGCCCCTGCTCCCAAAGAGTTCCTCGTGTGTTGGGGTGGGCAGTGGTGCGAGGGAATCCTCACTGCCTGGGTGAGGGGTCTCTGCAGGAAGCAGGCAGAGAGCCAAGTGAGAAAAAGGTGGCAGTGGAGAGCAGGAAGGTCGGCAGGATGAGAATGGACAAAGGGACGTGAAAGAGTCTGATGGGTGGACAGGAAAAGCGCAGCTAAAGGCCTTGCTGATAGTAACTCAGAGTGGCTGTCCATAGGCCAGGAACTGTTTAATTCCCATGACGGACGTAGGAGTTAGTGGTCCTGTAATCACCATGTGGCAGATGAAGAACCTGGGATTTAACATTAACTTGTTCAGGATAATGCTTGGATTTGCAAGTAGACAGTCTCACACCGGAGTTTGCAGCCGTAACCACGGTGCTAACCTGCCTTCTGGTCTTGAGGTCTAGAGTCAGCATGGGTCTGTGGGTACAAGGAGAGATTGCCTCGTTTCATAACAAGAATATTCCATTTTCTTTCCAGTCGGCTATTCAGTTGTTGCCATCAATCATGTTGTTGACTTTAAGGAAAAGAAACAGGTAAAATTATATTTCTGAAGTTAATATGTTGGAATTGTCATGTGTTCATGTGAACATATTTCTTATGTGTTTCAAAAGTGCACTGGTATTGACTTGAACTATAATCACAAGATTGACTCTTCTTTATTTTATTGTCATGGACTCATTAACCAATTTCCCTCTACAACATAAATTTTTTCTTTAGGCCGACAATTGTATCTTATAGATTATTTCAGTCTAAAAAATCAGTTTTTTTCCCTCCTGTGCATAGATTTCTCAGCTGCTTCTCTGTTCTCTGGCTCTTTTTCTTTACCATCTGTTTTTTTGTTTGTTTGATTATTTTTTCCCAAAAAAAAAAACTCCTTGTAAGTATTCCATGATGTCTTGTGTTGTTAACATGTACAGTCTTGGGTAACCACTTATCTTTTCTTGTAGGAAATTGAAAAGCCAATAGCTGTTTCTGAACTCTTCACAACATTGCCGATTGTGCAGGTTGGTGTTTTTTCTTTAGGAAGTGAAATAGTGAGTTCAGGCATACCCAGTCTGTGTGCCGTTCTCTGGCCTGAACCATGCCTTCCTCTCCACGCTTCTGTTACCTTTCCACCAACGCTCAACTGTTCCATGAGACATTCCAACTGTGGATTCAGTACTTGTTTGATTTCTTCTTTCCCGAAGCCCTACAACTTTTGAATAACCTCACTGTGTAGCTTAACATGTGTACATGTTTTTTCCTTTGGTTGCATTATAAATTCCTAGAGAGTAAAGATAACATCTTACTAATTTTCTCTATCCCTTATGACTAGTATGTTTTAATGAGTACTTTACATCAGTAAAGTAAAAAATCAGTTATCGTTCATAGTTTTTTGATAGCATGTTTTTGTTTATAGGGAAAATCAAGACCAATTAAAATTTTAACAAGAGTCACGATTGTTGTCTCAGACCCATCTCACTGTAATGTTTTGGTAAGTTATTTTTCCTCTCTCCTTCTGACCATGTAAGTAGTATTGATTGATTGATAACACCATTGCCTGAGGCGAGACAAAAGCAGATCTGGGCCGTGATGGGTTCCTGTGGCTGTTCCTGAGCTATGTGGCATTTCATCTCTCCGCAGCCCTAGATTTCCTGTATCCTTCTGATCCAGGGTGCCTGCCTGTTCTTGTGTTCAGATTTCATATAGAAGAGCATATGTATATTCTACCCAGAGCACATATATAGTAATGCCACAGTTAATTCCTTGGCAGCTGGTATTCCTTGAATTCATGTTAACCAGACATAAAGTTGGTGCTGGGAGTTTTTCTGTAATAAACTTACAAAGCTTAATTGGGAAGACAAGCATTGAACAAATAATTTAAAATATGAAGAATATTTTAAAAGGAGATGATACATAGAGGGTGTTCTGGGAGTCTGTAACCTAAGTAAATTGGTGTTCAAACTGAGGCCCAAGGGTCAGTGTTAAGTAGAAGGAAGAGCATTCCCAGAGACAGGATGGCTCGCCGAGGGTCCTGAAGCTGAAGAAGGCAGTTTGTGTTCTGGGAGGAGAACCGAGACCAGCAGGGCTCAGCCTCTCCAGCTGCTTTAGGGCGGTAGGCCTGGGAGAAGATTCCAGGAAGCCTTTAAGGGTTTAACCTAGGGAGTAAAATTAAGAGGTTTCTCTTACAGAGAATGCATTAGAAAGGGATAAGGGATGGAATTTGAGAGGCCTCCAGAAGGGAGGCTTGACAGGATTTGGGAATTGACTGGTTTTAGGATGATTACTCTGGGTGGCCTAAGCCCCCAGGTGGGTAGATAACACCATTGCCTGAGGCGAGACAAAAGCAGATCTGGGCCGTGATGGGTTCCTGTGGCTGTTCTTGGTGGTTAGAAGTAAAGGTGTGGCCCACAGAAGTGTGTGGTCACCTACAGAGAGTAATGGAGACTTCCTGGCTGAAGTACAAGGTGGGAAGGGGTCGGGGGAGCTTCCCCAGCATGGTGACATAAAGGCTGGGCTGGGATTGGAGACTGAGGAGGGCCTGCCCTGGAAGTGGAAGGACTGAGAGGAACGTGAACACAGAACAGGGCTAAGAAGAGGGCAGCAGCATCAGTACCTTTCAGTGGCCGCGCAGGGGTGGGGAAGGAGGGCCGGCAGAGAAAGAATTGCATTATTGACTGGGAAGCCTTCGCTGCCAAAGCAAAAACCACGTCTACAGATCTGAAAGAGATGTGAGGAAGTGTGCTACTGACACTGCTCGAGAAATTTGACCCCACCAGGAGAAGGGAACACACAGAGTGGTATACAAAAACCTGCCATATAGAGAGATTTCTTTTCCCCCTTTTTTTTTTTTTTAATTTGTTTGAAAGGCAGAGTTGGGGAGGGAAAGATAAAAATGTAGCCGCAACGAGAGAGAATGACTGCAATAAAGGCAGGAGCCAGGAACTCTGTCTAGTGTCCCACATTGCATGGCAGGGGTCCAAGGACTTGGGCCAGCTTCTGCTGCCTTCCCAGTGCATTAGCGTGGAGCTGAATCAGAAGTAGAGCAGCCAGGACTTGAACAGGCGGCCTATGGGATGCTGGTGTCTCAGGCAGGGGGCCTAACTTGCTGCACCACGACACTGGTCCCACCAGATTTCTTAACTGGGAGTGATTTGAGTGTGCCTGCTGTGTGCTGGACACAGGGCTTGAGAAAGTAAAATCCATGAGAAGGTTCTCTGTTGTATCTTTGGCTAGAATGGGCACCTCCGCCATAGAACAGGAGTAATCAAGGAAAGACTGGCCTCCATAATTGCAGTTAGCATTACTAAAGAAATTGTGGAACACCAAATTTACTAGTGTTGCCTGCAGTTGCCTGGCTGTATTCTGTTTCTCTAGGCCCCGCGGGACATAAATGGAACTCTGTTTTGATAGGTTGTGAAGACTTTGATTTACTGTTTATATCCTGACCATCTTGGTGGCCTCTTTTTTGGTCCTCTTCTCAAGATGGATTGAGCAGGGCAAGGAAGCTAGGAACTTCATCCGTGTGTCCCACGCGGGTGCAAGGGCCCAAGCACTTGGGCCATCCTCCGCTGCTTTCCCAGGCGCATTAGCAGGGAGCTGGATTGGAAGTGGAGCAGCCAGGACAGAAATCAGCACCCATATGGGATGCTAGCTTTGCAGGTGGCAGCTATACCTGTTATACCACAATGCCAGACCCCTCTTTATTGTTTTTATTTTGTAAATATTTACTTATTTATTTGGAAAGAAGAGTGACAGAGTGGGAGAGAGAGAGCTTCCATATGTTGCTTCATTCCCCAAATAACCACAAAAGCCAGGACTGGGCCAAGTTGAAGCTGCAAGCCAGGAATCTGTGTCTCCCAGTTAGGTGGCAGGGACTCAAATACGTGCGCCATCAACTGCTTCCCAAGTGCATTAGCAGAGAGCTGGACCGGAAGCAGAGTAGTTGAGACTGGAATTGTTGCTCTGATATGGGATTCAGATGTCCCAAGCAATGGCTTAGTCTGCTCTCCCACAAGACCTATTAAGGAGATTTGCTTTTTTTAAACAATAACTCTTTAAGTGATGTGTTTATGTCCTGTACTAGGACTTTGAAGTGTTTTCTTGCACATCTAGCATTTTAATTTATGCAAGATTACTTCAAAAGATTCATGGAAAATGGAATTAAAAGTCTTCTTTTAATTCAAAAAAAATTTGAAATTCATGCATTTGGAGAATTCTTCCCAAAGTTCATGAAGAGTGAGTATTCTGGGAAAGTTATGCATGAATTTCAACTTTTTTCTACATCAAAATAAACTTACCTTTTGATCCCATTTTCCACTAGCTTTTTGACAAAGATTCATACTTAACAGTATTCTTGTGAACTTAACTGCAATCCATTTAAACATGTATGTTGCATACAACACATCATACTTAGTCATGTAAATTTTTGTCTCTGCCCCCTCCCCAAAAATGGTGACTTCCATTGAGGTTAATCATAAGGCTTATTGATGTTATGTCCCCAGTGCCTAGCACACAGCAAGTGGCAAATGTCAGGCTCCAGGACTGGCATTGTGGTGCGGTAGGTAAAGCTGCTGCCTATGACGCCAGCATCCCATTTGGGCGCTGATTCCTCTCCCAGCTGCTCTACTTCCGATCCAGCCTCCTGCTGATGGCCTGGAAAAAGCAGCAGAAGGTGGCCCAAATGTTTGAGCTCCTGCCGTAATCCTGAGAGACCAAGATGAAGCTCTTTGGCCTGGCCTGGTGCTGGCCACTGCAGCCATCTGGGAAGTGAACCAGAGGATGGAAAATCTCTCTCTGTCTCTCTTTTCTCTCTGTATCTCTGACTTTCAAAATAAATAGGGGAACAGTCAAGCTCCTTCAGTAGTTTGAGGGAGCCGGGCTTTGGTACATGCACTTGATCATAACAAATGGTGGGAGGGAGAAGGAGGAGGATTGGTGGGTCGGATGTTGGTATTAAATCCTCGTGCTTGGAACGTCTATTCTGCCAACATACAAAGCAAAGCAGAAAGGTCAGCAGCACTTGAGAAGTGTTAGATGACTGAACTGTAAGTATAGCTGGGTCCGTAGAAGTCTGAACTGTAAGTGTAGCTGGGTCCGTAGAAGTCTCTGTGTGTATTTTTTGCTACTGCACACCCTAACATGCTTTTTCTCTTACTAGAGAGCAACTTCTTCAAGGGTTCGACTGTATGATATCGTTGCTGTTTTCCCAAAAACAGAAAAACTTTTTCACGTAAGTTAACAGATAAAGAAAATAGTGTTTATTATTTTACTTAAAAAGTCTGGTAATGCCTTTCTAAGGGACTGTTCCTCCCCATCGAGAAACTTAGAGGATTTTTCATTTATCTTTGGAGTGTCAGATTTCCCAGTATATTTAAATAGTGTGTGTTTTTATTTTGTTTAGTTTTGTTATCCTGCTAGGCACACAATGGGCTGGTTTTGAAAGAGCCCATTAAGTTTTCTGTTGCTGTATTTGCTTCATACATTTGAATGTTCTCTTAGGTGAGTGTTGCTCTTTCTCTAAAATCACCTCAGTTTCTGCTTTTACTTCCTCACTGCTGCCTGTGATGGACGGAAGAGGCGAATACCTTCTGCAGCTTGAGGCTCCCACCTGTTTCACCTTCCCCCTCTGCATGCTCTGAGACGTGGTGCCTGTGTTAGCCCGAGCATGGCAGCCCTCAGTCTTCCAGAAACTGCTCAAATTATCATCTGCTGCTACGCTCCCCTCCCTGTTCTGAAATCCTGATGAATTGTGTTCCTCTGCACTTTTGAAATGGCTACTGCAGTGCCTTTGCAAGAAGGGAAGGACTTAGCATATGTGTTCACTTTGTAAACTGGAGACAGAACACCCCGAAATTTTAAATGATGACTTTAAAGCGGTAAAGAGTGAGTCAGACTACAATTTTTCAGGAGCATATTTTTTTATATAAAATTGAGATAAAACTACTTTTGTAGAAAGTTCTGAAAGTTATCTTTAGATTCAAAAAAGAATCCACCTGTCACAAGGCTTGTGCAGGAAAAAAATGTTGGTCTTAGATGCTTTAATTTTACATCCGTTCTTTTTTTTTTTTTTTTTTTTTTTTTTTTTTTGACAGGCAGAGTGGACAGTGAGAGAGAGAGACAGAGAGAAAGGTCTTTTGCCGTTGGTTCACCCTCCAATGGCCGCCGCGGCTGGCGCGCTGCGGCCGGCGCACCCCGCTGATCCGATGGCAGGAGCCAGGTGCTTCTCCTGGTCTCCCATGGGGTGCAGGGCCTGAGCACTTGGGCCATCCTCCACTGCACTCCCGGGCCACAGCAGAGAGCTGGCCTGGAAGAGGGGCAACCGGGACAGAATCTGGCACCCTGACCGGGACTAGAACCCGGTGTGCCGGCGCCGCTAGGCGGAGGATTAGCCTGTTGAGCCGCGTTCTTTTTTAAGCAAAATCTGTTCCAAAATTGTAAGGAATTTTTTTCATCAGTTTGTCCAGTAGATGGAGCTGTTGACTAAGGAGGCTGATCATGGCAGACTGGCAAGTCTTAATTATTTATATTAATGAAGGGAATCACCATATGTCATCCTTGAATGCCTGAGCTCCCCATTTTTTGGGTGTTATCCTTTAAAAAATGCTCAAGTATAGCAATTCTCTTGAATTTTGTTTCAGTTGGAGGTATGAACCATGATTGGTTCTGTTTTTTCAAATTCCACAGAAACTTGCGAGTGATTCAGGGCTGAAACTATTGGTATTCAGTATGAGAAAGACCATGGACATTGTCAAACCACAGCAACTTATTTTTGCTATTATATAGTAACACCCCAGTCACAAAGATGGACTCTAAGTTGATTGATGTGGCAAGTTTTCTGTTGTACATTTGATTTCTTGATAATTTGAAGATCATAAAACTTACATTTCCTTAGTCCTTTACTGGTAATTAGAATGAGAAAACACTTAACTAACATTTTGGGTAGAAGGCGTACATTTAAATACCCTTCCAAACACTTTCACGTATTTAATTCCTTTCATCTGCACAGCAGTCCTGTGCTTTACAGAGGAGAAGACTGAGACTTGTGCTAAAATGATTAGCTACAGATCTCTCAGTAAATAGATAGTAGAGAGAGGATTTTTTAATTTTAATTATTCTGGTTATAATTCTGATTTCATATAGCAGTTTTATCATATTCATTTTTATTACTTGTTTTTCAAAGACTGTAAGTTTGAATTTGCTCAACACCTGCTTGATGATGGTGGGTATAGCAATCAAAAGCATTTTAGAAGGAAGAAAGCTATAAATAATTCAGAAGTATTTATTTGGAATTGACTTTATTGATATGTTCAAAAAGTTACATGAGGGACTGGTGCTGTAGCACAGCAGGTTATAGCCCTGGCCTGCAGTGCCAGCATCCTGTATAGGTGTTGGTTCGAATCCTGACTTCCAATCCAGCTCCCTGCTAATGCACCTGGGACAGCAGCAAAGGATGGCCCAAGTGCTTGGGCCCCTGTGCCCACATGGGAGACCTGGAAGAAGCTCCTGGCTCCAGACTTCAGCCTGGCCCAGCCCTGATCATTGCGGCCATTAGCAGAGTGAACCAGCAGTTGGAAGACCTTTCTCTGTGTCTCTACCTCTCTTTGTAACTCAGCCTTTCAAATAAATAAAATAAATATTTAAGGAAAATTCCATGAAAGCACATTTTTAAAAATTGGAATATCTTCCTCTTCTGTCTAAATTTTATCCATTCTTTAGGATTCAGATGAAATTAGAGCACTCCCTATTTTTATAGATAATCAATTATTAAAGATATCTTTCTTTTAATTATAAAGCTTCTGTGAGTGTATCATAGTTTGATTTTAGATCACATTCAAGCAGTTTGTTGCTTAACAGGTTGCATTCTGTACATTATTTTGTTGTTGGTAGCTTGATTATCTAGAACTCCCAGGCCTCCCAGTAGGTTAGATAGCTATTCCTTTTTTTTTTTTTTTTTTTTGAATTTTTTATTTATTTGAAAGTCAGAGTTACACAAAGAGAAGGAGAGGCAGAGAGGGAGAGGTCTTCCATCCGATGGTTCACTCCCCAATTGGCCGTAACGGCTGGAGCTGTGCCAATCCTAAGCCAGGAGCCAGGAGTTTCCTCCGGGTCTCCCACATGGGTGCAGGGGCCCAAGGACTTGGGCCATCTTCTACTGCCTTCCCAGGCCATAGCAGAGAGCTGGATCAGAAGTGGTGGAGCTGGGACTCAAACCAGCGCCTACATGGGATGCCAACACTGCAGGCAGTGGCTTTACCTGCTACGCCACAGCGCTGTCCCCAGGTTAGGTGTTCTAAGACTACCTAGGTCTCCAAGGAGGTCATAAGAGTGGACACACACACATTAGTAGTTAGTAGTATAAAAATCTAGCCATGTTCAATATCAGCATCGCTTCCATGGGAAATAACACACTGGTTTCTCCTCACAGTACCTGGAAAATGTCTCATAGGTAGGAAACCCTTTCTCCCCATAGCTACCCCGGGGGATGAGGTACAGATTAAAGGTGGTGAGAGGGCTTCACGGTGGCCAGGCTCCTTGGGGTGGAGGTAGCTGTGGAATATGGCAGAGAGAGAAAAATGCGTATACACTTCAGGAACTTCTGGGCCAGGTATTTCTGTTTAGGATCTAAAGCAGCACACAAAATGAGCAGCATCCAGGTTATTTAGCCCAGTAGTCTTCAAACTCCTTTGCTTGCCTTATCAGATAAAAACAGTTTGAGCCTGCTTCCCCATGCTTTTCTTATAAACTAATTTGTATGTACCATTATACCAGTGTGCTGTATAAAATGATATACACATACAAAACCGAACAGAAATTTCAAGAGAATTAAAAACTAAGTGGAGGTAGAAGTTGCGTTTCCTTCCTGCTCCAGGAACCAGGGCCTCCCCTTTGCAGGGCACTGCTGTGAAGTGTCCTGGGGAAGGGAGTATCTCTCAAGGCAGTGTTTCTGAGGGGTGATCCAGCCCCATGGCTTCCACATTACCTGGAGCATTTGTTAAAATGCAGATTGTTCTGCCCTGTTTACTGAATGAATTATTGGAGACAGGGCCTGGTGATCCCATTTTTAATCCCTCTTTAGGAGAGTTTGGTGTACACCTGAGGGTGAGAGGCACCGGCCACAGGCATATCTCTGTGCCTTTGGTAAGCTTGACTCTCCCCGACACGATATGTAACATAAAATACAGAGATGTGTTAACCTGACATCCAAGAGAGGGATGTCGGGAGCAGGAGAGCAACTGTGAACCCCTTACCTTCATGTTTCCTTTATTCCATAAAGGCAAAATTAGTGTGTTTCTTCATGGGAATATATATTGTCATAGAGGTCTGACAGCCCCTCCTCAAAAGAAAAAAATCCGTTAATGACAATTGATGTAAACTCATATACACCCTGTCAGTTGCCGGGGAGAATCATTATGAGCATCTTCACTCCAAAACTATTGGATATAATTTGATTTTTAATGATTGAGAAAGTATTTCATTATAGTGTGAACATTAACTCCTATTTTGTGGTTATCTAAATGTATCAGTTGAACATGTGGGTTAATAAAAAGCTAAATAACAGCAGATTTTGGTTTGGGACTTTTTTTTTAAGTTTGAAATGTCAGAGGAAGCCCAATGGACCTGACCTTTGTAACTAAAAGTTTATTATAATGCATGTACTTGAACCAGCAGAGATCCATTGTTTAATTGGCTACTATTGTGAGGAGAGGGGAAGGGAGGAATAATGTATTACTTATGCAACATAATTTACCTTTATTCTATGGAGAATGTTTCCTAGGCCTCTAAAAATTAATCAGCTCCTTTTTTGTTGTTGAAAAAATAACATATTCATGGAAGTAGGGGTAGGCATTGAAAAATAGACCTTCCTCCTGCCCAAAACTCCCCCTCCCTTCTCTCCGTGGGCACCCACTGCCAGCAGTTTTTGTGTAGCTTTAAGAAATAGTATTTACGTAGTCCCTCTTTCCTTCATTTTCCACTCTCCCTGCCTCTTTCCTTTCTAACACCACGCTCTTGGGCCTTACAGTATATCTTTGAGATTATTCCATAGTATCACTTAGAGATTTGTTTAACTGAAAGTGGAGAATGTTTGATTATGTCTAGTCTTTTGGGATTGGTATCATAATGGTTGTCCTTGTACTAATGCCCTTGAACCTTTGTAGGGTTTATAGCCGTAGAATAATATTTATATGCTGATGTGTCCGTTTAGATTTTTGCTAGCTATTGCTAGGGTCCATTCCAAGACCTAGTTTAAAAACCCTTAAGATCTGATTTATTCATCCCATGTCAGCAGTGTATTACTGAACTTTTTGATCTTTTCTATTCTGATAGTTTAAAAATGACTAACAGAAGCAGAATTTGTTATAGCTACTATTTAGAGCTTTTCTTCATCCATTCTTAGCAAATTTTCAATGATTCTTTCATGAGTTGGACAGCAATAGTGGTTGGGATGGTGCAGATTCTGTTTGAGCCAGGTATTTCTGCCAAAGCAACATTGCTTCACTGGCTTACTAAGTTACTGTGACTGTCTTAAGGCAGCCAGCTTCGATCGCTGTGTGCTTCCTAAAGCCCTAGGATGGGAGCAGGAGTGACAGGGATTTGGAAGAAACAAGATGTGGTATCGCAGAAATGCTTAAGGTCAGCACTGATCCTGTAGGCTTTATTTAGCTGCCCTGGCAACTCAGTTTTGTTCATCAGACCTCTACTCAACAGCGTGGTCAGTAAGGGTGATTTTTTTTTTTAAGTTTTATTTATTTATTTGAAAGTCAGAGTTACACAGAGAAAGGAGAGGCAGAGAAAGAGAGAGAGAGGTCTTCCATCTGCTGGTTCACTCCCCAGTTGGCCACAATGGCTGGAGTTGCACCCATCTTAAACCAGGAGCCAGGAGCTTCTTCCAGGTCTCCCACACAGGTGCAGGGGCCCAAGGACTTGGGCCATCTTCCACTGCCTTCCCAGGCCATAGCAGAGAGCTGGATCGGAAGTGGAGCAGCCGGGACTCAACCTGGTGCCCATATGGGATGCTGGCGCTTCAGGCCAGGGCGTTAACCCGCTGTGCCACAGTGCCAGCCCCAGGGTGATTTTTAATACAATTTAAAACAGTCAATTCTTTTTATCACTATAAGTCAAATAATGGCAAAATCAGGACTAGATATGCATCTTCTAGCAACATGTTCTGATTTGCACTCTATGCCAGTAACCTTTCACCACCTTTATTTTATTTTTACTTCCGTAGCTTTCCTTTTATCCTGATTTTATATGTGATTTTTTAAAAAGATTTATTTGTTTATTTGAGAGGTTGAGTTACAGAGAGAGGGAGAGACAGAGAGGAAGATCTTCCATCTGCTGGTTTACTCCCCAAATGGCTGTTCTGAAGCCAGGAGCGAGGAGCTTCCCACATGGGCGCAGGGGCCCGAGCACTTGGGCCATCTTCCTCTGCCTTCCCAGGCCATAAGCAGAGAGCTGGATCAGGAGAGGAGCAGCCAGGACATGAACCAGCATCCATATGGGATGCTGACACTGCAGACAGAGGCTTAGCCCACTATGCCACAGTGCTGGCCCCTATATGTGATTTTTTAAAGCAGTTTCAAATGTATTTTATTTATTTTTCAGAAGATTTATTTATTGAAGGTCTGAGTTACAGAGAGGCAGAGAAAGAGAGAGACAGACAGAGAGGGAGGTCTTCCATCTGCTTATTCACTCCCCAAATGGGTGCAACAGCTGGAACTGTGCTGATCTGAAGCCAGGAGCCAGGAGCTTTCTTTGGGTCGCCCATGTGGGTGAAAGGGCCCAAAGACTTGGGCCATCTTCTGTTGCTTTCCCAGGCCATAGCAGAGAGCAGCATCGGAAGTGGAGCAGCCGGATCTCGAACCGGCACCCATATGGGATGCCAGCACTGCAGGTGGCAGCTTTACATGTTATGCCACAGTACCGGGTAAATGTCTTTTAGAAGTAAATTCCGATTATTGATCAATGAGTAAAAGCAAAAATTAGAGCAAAGGAAAGGGAAATTATGGGTTGAAACAAACAACATATATTGTGTGGTTTGCAGCTGCTGTGCTTGCACTTTTTGTTTGGACTATTTCTGTTGGAATTTGCACAGGATGCCATCAGTGCCATGCAGTGTCTCTCAGCCCTTCAGTAGACTGATAGGAGCCAGAGGCGTGTGGCTCTTCTTGGCACAAAGATGCTCAGTAGTTTGTGGAACAAATGGATCTTGCGTGTATTCCTTTTGGCTTCTTGCTTCCTTGGATTTCAGAACAGTTTCTTCTTTCTGGAACCACCTGAAAGCCCGTAACTGAAATTGAGCCTCGCTATGCAGACGATCTTGGGAGTAAGAAAGCCTCCATGCCCGGTCTTTTGAGAAGGTTGTGGACACATCAGTCTGCTTCACCTGGATTGCAGTTAAGCTGTGCAAGCCACACCTGAAGGGACGCTGCCGGCTGACTCTGTAAAGGCTCAGGTGTATTTCAGCACAGCACCGCCTAATGGGGAACCACGCCTGTTGTGTTTCTCTAGATCGTGTTCGAGTCCATCAGTCTTGTGCTGATTTTCCTTTTGGCCTCACCTGTTTTTCTTTTTGGCAGGTGGCTTGCACACAGTTAGATGTGGATTTAGTCTGTGTAACTGTGACGGAGAAACTGCCATTTTACTTCAGAAGACCCCCTATTAGTGTGGTAAGTGTGGGCTTTCCATTTTATGGAGAATAAATCTGTAGAGACTTGCATGAGCAAATTGGAAGAGGAGCAGAAAGCAGTGTTCTTAGAAAAGCAAAAGCTGGAAAGAAAACAAACAACAAAAGCAAAAGCTGGGTGATGGGGGATAGTTTTAGAAGAGAATTTTATTTTTATAAGCTGACTAAGGGAGAAAGCTTAAACTAAGAAACAGCCAATAAATTATCCATTTGTTTTTGAAGGACCTTAGAACATTTGTGCAAGGCATTTCTTTTTTTATTAGTTATTTAATTTTGAGCAACAGACAGAGACAGACAGCTCCCATCTACTGGTTCACTCTGAATGCCCGTAGTGGCTAAGGTTGGGCTAGGCCAAAGCTGGGAGCTGGCATCCCAATCCAGGTCTCCCACATGTGTGGCAGGGACTCAGCTATTTCAGCCATCACTGCTGCCTCCCAGGAAGTACATTAGCAAGAAGCTGGAATCAGGAGTGGAGCCAGGACTCAGCCAGGCACTCCAGTGCCAGGTGTATATAGTCCCAGCTGGTGTCTTAACTGCTGGGCCGAATGCCTACCCTTGTAAAGGGTATTTCTTTTTTTTCATAAAGATTTATTTATTTATTTGAACAAGTTACACAGAGAGAGAGAGAGAGAGAGAGAGAGATCTTCCACCCTCTGGTTCACTGCCCAGTTGGCTGCAACGGATGGGGCTGTGTGATCCAAAGCCAGGAGCCAGGAGCTTCTTCCGGGTCTCCCACATGGGTACAGGGGCCCAAGGACTTGGGGCCATCTTCCACTGCCTTCCCAGGCCATAGCAGAGAGCTGGATCAGAAGTGGAGCAGCCGGGACTCAAACTGGTGCCCACATGGGATGCTGACACTGCCGGCGGCGGCCCTGAAGGGTATTTCTTAAGAGGTACCTTATAATGATGGGTACTGTAGCCTGTACATTGGGCATTAAGAGAATTGAGCAAAGAAGGTAGGAAAGGAATTTAAAAAGTATAACTCTGTAGCATCCGCAAACTAAGGAGCGACAGGAGGTGGCAAGGCATGTCATCATCTAGGCATGGTCTATGCATAATTAAAATCTGATTTGAAGCATGCTGGTTCACACAGCAGTCAGAGCTTTAACAGGGTGACCAGGTGTCAGGGGTACTTGTTTCTCCCTCTGCTAGTGCGTTTTTCTCATTACCCTTCTGCATAGCTTTCTCTCTTGTTTCCTTGTACCTTTCATCTTCCATCTGTCACACCTTGTTCTAAGTCTTGAAGCCTTCCGTGTACATTATGAAGGTGGTAGTATTTCCCACCAGGAACTGTTTTGGTAGCTGTGAGGTCAGTACAGCTGTTAACTATTTGCATTGCCAGCTGATCCTAACAAGCGTTAGGATGTTTCAGAATAGTGGCTTCCAAAATGATTTACTTAGTCTCCCATTCAAAAACTACTATCTAAGAGAAAAAGGTTTAACAAGCATGGTTCAGATTACATACTCATTCCTATCGTAATTGGAAAATGAGATTTGTGAAAGAATTTTTTGAAGTGGGTAACTCCCCTGTCCTTTGTTTACATGGAATCATAACTTCCTAAATTTCTGTTCATCTTCGCTACAAAGGGGTTGAGAATTCAGGGGAGACAATGAAGAGAGAAACAGATATATTTGGTGCATAAAAATTGAATTCAATATGAATGTGCTACTAAAGCCATACTTGAAAAGTACCAAAAATTTATAGTCACATATTTAAAGGGAAAACTATAAGAAAACTTTTCTGGTAGATACTGAGAGTGCTACTGAACAAATAGCAATATTCGGTATACTCAAATCGTAGGTTCCCCTTGTTGTTGCCAGACTTCTAAGTAAACAAGTAAACAATAGAAAGCCCCTGAATCCTCACATTTGAGAATTAGAGATCCGTATTGTTCAACAACTCATTTATCAAGTGTGTGGAAATGAAGGCTACCAAGAAATCATTCAGCTCCTTGCACACGGGATTGAGACAGTTCTGGTCAATTAACTGTCAAGGAAGATCTCTGGAGTGCCCAAGGACCTATGATACAAGCCACAAATTAATACAGTACCAAATTTATGACAGTCTTATACATTGTTCCTCTCCAGAGATAGAACCACTCTATTGTCTTTAGAAGTTGGCCAGGGCTTTTTACCAGCCTCAAGTGCCAACACAGGTACCATGTAAATAACACCCCCAGAAACAGGCAGTGCAGCCATTCTATAGATTGCCATTCAACTTACCAACTCTTTCTTCACTTTAATGAACTAGGAAGGTCTGTGTCTAGACAGCTTTGCCTGAATAAGTCCACACCCAATAACCCTGTCCTTGTTTGGAAGAGATAGTAACATGTGATGCTAATTCCAAGTCCAGGAACGGACAGCTATGCACAGCACTTAATTCCTCATGTCCCATTACAATGGTAAGATTCCCAGGGGGTTTTTGGTAAGGGCTTTATTTGGGTTTCTTGTGAACATGTTTACTGTTCAAGTCAGAATATGAGCTTCTAGAGAAAGCACCAACTATGTCATGACCCCGGTATCTTGCCTATAATGAGTCCTCCCTAAAATTTTTTGATTGAATGAGTATATGTCTAGCTTATCTGGGGAACCTCATCTAATTGTACTTGTTGCTAGTCGTTAAGTGGTTGTCAGCACTGGGCAGGGAGCCTGTGCAGTGGATTGTACAAACATCCTTAAATACATGAAAAAATGCTACAGTTCACCCAGAGTGGGCTCTCAAGGCTGCACCACTAGGACATCCCATCCCCCACACCATCTGGAAATTCAGGGAAGCTGCTGTTTGATGGATATTTTTGACTTAATTTGACAAGTGAGACAGATATGCAATATGTAACACAGTGTGGGCTTTTGAAAAAGAATCTGGTGTGAACATTTTACATATGTTATTTAATCAAAACTAAATGGTAAAGGGGAAGGAAGGGCTGCACATGACTATTTTTAGTCTTCATCTAATATTGAAATAGGCTGTGGTGTGGATTGGACAAAAATCAAAAAAGTCCTTGTGAATTCATTCACTTGTTTTTCATTTAGAAGAAAGCTGGAAACTTGAATCTATCCAGCTTGTTGTTCAATATACATAATAGTTGTTTATAGCTATATGTGTATTATTAATAATATAATACCTAATCTGGATATGGAGCTGTGTGTCTACACTAAAGTGTGAAAATATACAGGGGTACTTCAAAACAGTTATGGGAAAATGAATGAAAAGAGAACTTTATTTTGGTACAAACAATTTTGAGTTCCATGCTTACTTTTTTCACAAACTCTTTGAAGTACCCCCATAATCTCAGTGAAAGTGCAGAACAACATGTCACAGCTCAGTCTTCACTGGTCCTTGCATGTTAAGGGTGAATTTGTCTTTGGCCATGAGAAGTTGATAGGTTGGCTTCATAAGGATACCTTAATTGGGCATGCAAGAATACAGCCCACATCTTGATTTGATTAGGTTTTATGCCCTTTTCCTTTATTGTGGTGAAGGCAGGATTATTAAAATAAATGATTCACCAGTCTTTTTGCCCATAGGCCAGAAGCCACTGAGATATATCAGCTTAGAAGGCTGGAATTATGTAAGGCCCAGTAGCTGGAGCGGACCAGAATACTCCATTTGTGTAATTTACAACACTCAACCCATTTGTCATCTCACCACATACTCAGGGCACAGTACTTTAAATCATGCAATTCCTTCCAAAATCTCCTGTAAACCCTCTTGGAGTTTCATGTAGTTTATATGGGAATCTCAGCTGTATCAACTTGTAGACCCAGCTAATAGCTGGGTCTCAAAACTTAGATTCAGCTCCTGTTCTTGGACGGTCCAGTCATTTCTAATTATTTGGCACTTTATGGTTCATGTATGTTCATGCCTGCTGTGATGCCGTAACTTTGGGTTGGAGTAGGTGTTACTTACCTCCGCATGCAAATAGTGGAACTGAGTCTCAGGTAGTGTGTGGCTCACAGTTAGATGTGTGTCTGAGCATTGGCTGGTGATGTGTACTCAGGCTTGGATTCCACTATCATTTCCTCTTTGGAAATGCTATTTGAGGTTACTTTATAGCTGATCTCTGTTAAGTACAGAATAATTTCATATTTTAAAACATAATTTTATGAATTCAGTTATTAAGGATCATCTCAAGAAAGTATGTATCTTTGCCTCTGATCTTTTCACTTTTATTTCCCTTCAACAATGATTGCAAGTTTATTGAGAGTTATTTTCAGTGATTGTTTTACACTCATATTTTCCCTTAATACTTCCAAGGTCCAGTTAGTCCCCACTGACAAATGTCTAGTAAATAATGTCCAAAGCAGCACGTTGGTTGTAGGAATCATGCCATACAAATATGTACTTGACCTGGGTGTGAGTGCTCCGTAACCTTTAATTTTCAGCATACATATCATGAACTAAGTATTTTGTCAATCCAGTGATTGTATCAGCACCAGGATATTTGCCATTATCAGAAATTTCTGTGTGGAAAACCAAAACAAAAACAAAATTAATAGACAAATAACAAACTGGTGGAAACATTTTCATTCACGTTACAGAAAAAAGGCTAATCCCCAATGTTCAAAGAATTCCTGGGTGAACAGGAGGATGAGCAATGCCAAGAAAAGAATTAATTATGTTAAAAAGACATTTCACGGGGCCGGCGCTGTGGTTAATCCTCCACTTGTGGTGCCGGCATCCCATATGGGCGCCAGGTTCTAGTCCCGGTTGCCCCTCTTCCAGGCCAGCTCTCTGCTATGGCCCTGGAGTGCAGTGGAGGATGGCTCAAGTGCTTGAGCCCCTGCACCCACATGGGAGACCAGGAGGAAGTACCTGGCTCCTGGCTTAGGATCGGCGCTGCATGCCGGCTGCGGCGGCCATTTGGGGGGTGAACCAACGGAAGGAAGACCTTTCTCTCTGTCTCTCTCTCTCATTGTCTAACTCTGCCTGTCAAATAAAAAAAAAAGACATTTCACACAAAAGAAAATACAGATGATCCT